CCATTACTCTCTCTCTCTCTCTCTCTCTCTCTCTCTCTCTCTCTCTCTCTCTCTCTCTCTCTCTCACCCCCACACACACATACACACACACATATACATACACACATACACACAGACACACAGACAAACATGCAAAGATACACACAAACAAAGAAGCACATAGACAAAGACACACACACACAAACTTTTATTACACACACACACACACACACACACACACACACACACACACACGCGCGCGCGCGCGCGCGCGCTGCCATATTATACACATCTACAGTTATAAATAAACAAAAACAACTCACAAGTGTAATATGATTTGATAATTACCTACACCCACATAAGGGTGCGTGTGCACCCTTAGAGAGCACGGGAGTAAAAAAATATGTTTTGGTTTCTGTTCTGTTTTTCGCCCCCAGTTTTTTTAATCCCAGACCAAGGCCATAAACAGGCTGTCTGATTGATGTCAGAGAAATAGCTAGCCCACAAACCTTTGGGGCTGGGCACGGCATTGATCGATCTCTCGATTATTTAAGACAAGAAAAACGTCTGCTACTGTTTAGAAATGAACGTACGTGAACGTGAGTACTTACCCGTGTTAATATATCTGGGTAAAAGTAGCATTTTATAAAATCTAGAAACGAAAGTCCTAGAAAAAAGACAGAACGAGTGGAGTCATAAGGTAGCGGAAAAACCCAACTATGGAGCATCCCTTCCCTTCTCTCACAAGCCCCGAGGAATAGTCAAAACAGTCCCCTCTCCCTCCAACCGCCCCCCTCAAGAAAAAAACAAAGAAACAACCCCCCCCTCAATTATACAAGCAAACAGAAAGACCCACTGCTATTAAACTGGTCACCTCCCGCTATCAAACACACGCTTGCATAAACACACACACATACACAAGTACACGTACACACACATACACACACACACACACACACACACACACACACACACACACGTGCACACACACACACACACAAACACAAACATACACACATACATGCACACTCTCACACACATAGAATCTATACACCCACTCTCTCTCTCTCTCTTTCTCTCACTCTCTCTCTCTACGTCTCTATGTCTCCATCTCTCTCTCTCTCTCTCTCTCTCTCTCTCTCTCTCTCTCTCACACACACACACACACACACACACACACACACACACACACACACACACACAAGCACGCACACACACGCTCGCGCACACATACGCTCACATACGCACACAAAACATTTCTCATTCGCAGATCTCACTTCAATTAAAATTTGGACCGGCCAAAGATGTTCGTACTTTTATGCCTTCAGGAGGAATGCCCAGAAAACAGAGTAGAGAAAGATCTGTCACAGGTCGCCTTCATAGATGACTAGACAACTTTTTCTCTATTCACACTTTGTTGAAAAGATATTGTTATCTCAGATGAAAAGGTAAAAACAGTAAACGAAGCTGGTGTCCGAATTTTTGTTCCATTTATCACTTTCCACTAGTCGACAGGAGTATCACCACCCCTCCACCCCCCTTTCCTGTTTTACTCAGTTCTCCCAGTTATCACTTCTGTCACTCAACAAAAGATAACAAAAAACAATAAACACTTAGGTTTAAACACTCCTTTGTTTGTACTCTTTATTCGTGTTTTTATTCTCCCCAAAAGACTATAAAGGCGAGTGGTTGGAGGACACCAATGGTATGGTACTACTTTTTTTCTTTCATTGTTTCCGATAGTCGTACTCTTTACTTGCACTAAATGACCGGCACTGTATAGATGTGAATCTCATTACTAAAAAAAATGCAATTTATATAGGTAGCTTCAGTCCTATTTTTAAGGTCAAGGTGTGATGTATAAGACATCGAGGTGGAGTAAGTCAATAATAATGATGATGATGATGATGATGATGATGATGATGATGATAATAATAATGATAAAATAATAATAATGATAATAATAGTAATAATAATGATAATGATAATAATAATGATAATTTCTGTTACGCTCATTTGAATCATCTTAATTTATATTTGATTAGGAAAAAGTGTTAAAATATCAATGATGATGATGATGATGATGATGATGATGATGATGATGATGATGATGATGATGATGATGATGATGATGATGATGATGGTGAAGATAATGATGATGATGATGATGATGATGATGATGATGATGATGATGATGATGATGATGATGATGATGATGATGATGCTTCCATAATAATAAGCCTTCTCTTACTTGCTCCCGATGAAGCCTACATGGTGAAACTTTTGAGGTGATAAACCTAATTTTAAATAATAATAGATCTATATTGTTTATACTTTTCGTCTCTTTATACCGCCTGTGATTTTTAAACAATGACGACGATGACGTTGACAATAACAATTCTAATAATGATCACAGTAATATCACTGAAAATGATGATAACAATAATGCTTTACCTTAAAAAACACCCATTGTTATTATTAGCGAGGCGGAATTCGTTTTCTCTGAATAAAAAGTAGAATAGATGGATATTCAAGAAAACAAGCACTAGATCTAGATCTAGGTCTTGACAGACAGGAGCAAATTTAAGAAAACTGGTTTCTATGGTAACCATAATTTTTCTAAGCTAAGAAAATAGTGGGCTAATGAGTCATACTAATAAACGAATGCGGTCGTTTAATTTCAGAGAACACATTACATGTTTGCTAAAATGATTGGAGCCCGCATACAAGCGCTAAATGTAACATTAAATTTTTTGTCGTTCTGAAAAATAGAAACTTTCTGGAAAACTTTAGTGCGGATAAGTAAGTCGATCAAAAAAGAAAACCAAAGAGATAAAGAAAAGGAATTCCCCCCGAGACAAAACCCTGTTCTCACCCGATACACACACACACACACACACACACACACACACACACACACACACACACACACACACACACACACACACACACACACATGCGCGCGTGCACACACACACACACACACACACACACATACCCACACACCCACACACTCTCTCTCTCACACACACACATTAACACACCCAGACATACAAAAACAAAACAATGAGTCCCCCTGGCGCACATCAAAGTTTCAATTTTTTGGGGTAAAAAAAAAATCCAAGAAATTCCCCGAACAGAAATGACCCCAACACAAGCGTCATACATTTAAAAATCTTTAATTATCTCGCCAGACAAGTTGGGCTGACCTTTGCGTGCACCTCGCGGGGGTTTGTTCGAGATGTTAGGAGGTGGTGGTGGTGGGGGAGGGTAGAGGGATGGGGTGGAATGGGTCAGAAGGAGAGAAGAAAGGAAAATCAATAAAAAGATTAAAAGGGATACAAGGAGGGAGGTATTAGTAGAAAAAGGGA